GATAGATAGATAGATAGATAGATAGATAGATAGATAGATAGATAGATAGATAGATAGATAGATAGATAGATAGATAGATAGATAGATAGATAGATAGATAGATAGATAGATAGATAGATAGATAGATAGATAGATAGATAGATAGATAGATAGATAGATAGATAGATAGATAGATAGATAGATAGATAGATAGATAGATAGATAGATAGATAGATAGATAGATAGATAGATAGATAGATAGATAGATAGATAGATAGATAGATAGATAGATAGATAGATAGATAGATAGATAGATAGATAGATAGATAGATAGATAGATAGATAGATAGATAGATAGATAGATAGATAGATAGATAGATAGATAGATAGATAGATAGATAGATAGATAGATAGATAGATAGATAGATAGATAGATAGATAGATAGATAGATAGATAGATAGATAGATAGATAGATAGATAGATAGATAGATAGATAGATAGATAGATAGATAGATAGATAGATAGATAGATAGATAGATAGATAGATAGATAGATAGATAGATAGATAGATAGATAGATAGATAGATAGATAGATAGATAGATAGATAGATAGATAGATAGATAGATAGATAGATAGATAGATAGATAGATAGATAGATAGATAGATAGATAGATAGATAGATAGATAGATAGATAGATAGATAGATAGATAGATAGATAGATAGATAGATAGATAGATAGATAGATAGATAGATAGATAGATAGATAGATAGATAGATAGATAGATAGATAGATAGATAGATAGATAGATAGATAGATAGATAGATAGATAGATAGATAGATAGATAGATAGATAGATAGATAGATAGATAGATAGATAGATAGATAGATAGATAGATAGATAGATAGATAGATAGATAGATAGATAGATAGATAGATAGATAGATAGATAGATAGATAGATAGATAGATAGATAGATAGATAGATAGATAGATAGATAGATAGATAGATAGATAGATAGATAGATAGATAGATAGATAGATAGATAGATAGATATAGATAGATAGATAGATAGATAGATAGATAGATAGATAGATAGATAGATAGATAGATAGATAGATAGATAGATAGATAGATAGATAGATAGATAGATAGATAGATAGATAGATAGATAGATAGATAGATAGATAGATAGATAGATAGATAGATAGATAGATAGATAGATAGATAGATAGATAGATAGATAGATAGATAGATAGATAGATAGATAGATAGATAGATAGATAGATAGATAGATAGATAGATAGATAGATAGATAGATAGATAGATAGATAGATAGATAGATAGATAGATAGATAGATAGATAGATAGATAGATAGATAGATAGATAGATAGATAGATAGATAGATAGATAGATAGATAGATAGATAGATAGATAGATAGATAGATAGATAGATAGATAGATAGATAGATAGATAGATAGATAGATAGATAGATAGATAGATAGATAGATAGATAGATAGATAGATAGATAGATAGATAGATAGATAGATAGATAGATAGATAGATAGATAGATAGATAGATAGATAGATAGATAGATAGATAGATAGATAGATAGATAGATAGATAGATAGATAGATAGATAGATAGATAGATAGATAGATAGATAGATAGATAGATAGATAGATAGATAGATAGATAGATAGATAGATAGATAGATAGATAGATAGATAGATAGATAGATAGATAGATAGATAGATAGATAGATAGATAGATAGATAGATAGATAGATAGATAGATAGATAGATAGATAGATAGATAGATAGATAGATAGATAGATAGATAGATAGATAGATAGATAGATAGATAGATAGATAGATAGATAGATAGATAGATAGATAGATAGATAGATAGATAGATAGATAGATAGATAGATAGATAGATAGATAGATAGATAGATAGATAGATAGATAGATAGATAGATAGATAGATAGATAGATAGATAGATAGATAGATAGATAGATAGATAGATAGATAGATAGATAGATAGATAGATAGATAGATAGATAGATAGATAGATAGATAGATAGATAGATAGATAGATAGATAGATAGATAGATAGATAGAT